CGGCTGCGGGAGCAAACAGGAGGAACGCAAGCTCACGGCTCGGCTGTGTCGGTGAAAAAAAAGCTTTTGCTGAGTAACGCGGAAATGGATCTGAAACATATGGATTAAGTTCGTCCGAAAATAAACACAATTTTTAAAGGAAAGGAAAAGTACTTAGCCACCATGTTTGAGGTTTTCCTGCACCCAAACCTTTGGAAAATTAGCACACGAGTGAATTACTCAGCGCTTGTAACACAGTCAGCTTTGAAATCCGCTGCTCCCTAAAACCACCAGTTTGCTTCAAAACATTTTTTTCATGTTTTGCCCAAATCTGTTCCTTTACTCACTCCTCTTGAGGCTCAGTCCTGTTATTCTTTACAGGAAGAAGAAAGCTTTGCACACCCGCCCTCAGCCCGGGAGGCTCTGGGGCCCCGGGATTGGGAGATTCTAGAGGTCCGAGCTGGGACTCAGTGCTGGGACTCGGTGCCACCCCCTCCCCCGGCCCCCACTCACAACAAGGACCAGAGCCCTGGAAAGAAGGCAGGTGAGTGGAGCATTGGACTAGGAGCTGGATGCATGCCCTTGTGGCTCACCAGCAGACATCACTGCCACCCCAGGAGCAGAGAGAGCCACGCATGGCCTCCACATTCAGGGGACAGCTCAGAATCACCACCAGCCTCCCCCAAACAGTTCCGTGGAATCTAGGGAACCAGGATCTTTGGTCAACGGTGCCCAAAATTCAGGGCAACACAGGAACCAGCCTATGTCCAGCCTTAGCAAGCCGGGACAAGCTGAATCCCCATGGTTTGGGAGTCAAGTCCAAGTTCAGGGTGTTCCAGGGTCTAGGGTGACATGGTCTGAAGCAAAGACTGCTTTGGACGTGCGGCCAGCTGCCCCCAAATGGTGAGGTTGCTGGTCACCCACCAGCACGGCAGCCCTCCCTGACACTGCCCGGATGGTCAGATGCCCCCCCACCCCCAGAGGGAAATGCCACCCACCGCAATCCCCCTGCTGAGGCTCCTCACAGAGATGGGGGTCCTCCAAGTTCTCCAGACTGACCGTGGGTCACTTTGATCACCTTAAATCAGTCATGTGATCTTCATTCTAGAGCTGGGTCCGTGCCCAGAAGGGTTTCTTCAGATCCCCTTCTAAGGTTACGAGGACCGCCCGTTGGTGAGGACAGGGCTCTCTCTGGGTGCGGTCGCATTCAGAGCATGGACTTCCTCCCGCAGAGGAGCTCTGGGAGTAGGCGAGCAGGAGCCTCAGCCTGAACTGGAACCTTCCGCCTCCCCTGGGACCAGTGCGCTTTCCCTTTTTATACTTCTGACTTACTGTCCCTGCTTGAACCCCACCTTCAGAAACCTCCCACATTCAAATGTGTCTACTTTACACCAGTGAGAAAAGAGGGAAGATCCTGGATACAATGTGTCGAGTCTTAGACCCTGGAAAGGAGCTATGTTTCCTTCTTGCCTGCTTTTCTAGGATCTGAGGACTCCTGGGAGAATAGATGAATGGGCAAGGTTGGAAATAAAAAGCCTTTTTTTTTTTTTTTTGGCAAGAAGCTAATGCCTCTCCCTGCTTGCTAGCTACAGCTTGAGTCTCCTGAGCCAGCATCTGTCATAGATCCTCGCCTCTGGAAACCCACACGCCCCACATCTGTTAGATAGTCACACACGGGGTAATTCTGGCTTCATTTTTTTTTTAAAGATTTTATTTATTTATTTGACAGAGAGAGATCACAAGTAGGCAGAGGGGCAGGCAGAGAGAGAGGAAGGGAAGCAGGCTCCCTGCTGAGCAGAGAGCCCGATGCGGGACTCGATCCCAGGACCCTGAGATCATGACCTGAGCCAAAGGCAGCGGCTTAACCCACTGAGCCACCCAGGCGCCCCCATTCTGGCTTCATTTTACTGATAAGTGTTGACACAAAAACCAGCAAGACATCCAAAAGATGAAGAAGACACAGCAAGACAAACCACTCTAATACGAAGCTGACACTATGGGTATGACCGTCAAAAGCAAAATGAAAAGGATCTGAGGACAGAGGTTTTCAAAGTGGGCTCCTTGGAACCCACAGAGCTCTGTGGAACCCCTCGGGGACCTCAAGATAAAAACCTACTCTCAGCCACGGGCATTTTTTATCTGGATTGTAAATGAGATTTATTAAGATTTTGTTGGGAAAAAAAATTATGATTAATTTAAAATCAGGAGGCTATGAGACTAAAGGCACCAGCTGCTTAGAAAGACTCTGTCTTCTGCCAGGTATCGCCTGAGGTCTGGGCAGGGAAGGGAGCAAAAGCACGTGGGCCGTAAGGAGCTTTGCGCGTGTGGAAGGATGCAAGAGCTAAGAGGTTTAAGCCTGCCTGTGCTTCTGGATCTTTCCCTGTGGCCCTTTCTCTGTGGGCATCCCCTTCTGAACTCCACTCCCCAAATCCCACCTTTGCCTCCTGGGAAAATTCCTATCAACTCCTGCTAATCCTTCCAGAAGCACCATATGCGCCCTTCCCAGCGAAGCTTCCCGGGACATTTTTGGCTCCACCTGTCCTCCACCGGCCCCCACCCACCACTCCTCCTGACCCACGCACTACAGCCCCCATCACACTGCGTGGTAGCTTCCCACCGGGGTGGCTTGTTCCCCCAGCTAGACCGTTAGCTCTGGAGGGTGCAGACGGTTTCTTTAATCCTGCCCCCCGCCCCTGCCCGGGGGCTAACACAGCACCTACACGTGCAAGGCGATGGAAACATTGTACTCAATTTTTTTCTATCTCCAGATGCAGTGGACGGACAGAACACAACTGCACAGCTCTGTCTTGGGCTGACCGTCAGGCATCTGCGATGCTCATTCCCACGGAAATGCCACAGGGAGGGGGGCTGGGGAAGATAACGGAGGTTTGCGTTTCATTTTTAGGTTAAAAAAAAAAAGCTGTGATCCTCGGAGTCAAGTCAATTGTCTAAATGTAAACAAGCATTCTCTGTGTCTGGAACCCGAGTGAGATGAGACTCCCCAAGTGATCTCTTAATGCCCGCAAAATTACAGTCAGACGTCTCTGCCAGGCAGAGATAAATTGCCATTTGCACAATGGTCTTGCACTTAAAAGTAACTCGATTCAGAGAGCTGGAAAATTTATTAGGACAGGGAAAATGGGGACTCAAAGGGGTCCAGATATTTAGTCTACTGATAAGACAGTTTGCCAGCAACAATAATTACCTCCAAGAATTTGAAGGGTCATCATAAGGTCATTAGGAGGACACAGGCCCGCTGGACCGCATGCACTCAGACAGACACAAGAAACGGACTTAAAACCCACCAGGAAGAGCAGAGCTAGGTTATAGCCCCCGGAGCCTCCCAAGGCCTCAGTGGACCCGCAGCATCCCCTGGGAGCTGGTTGGAGATGCAGACCCTTGGGCCCACCCCGCCCCACCTCCCGGCCAATCAGAGTTTGCGTCTTAACACCATCTCCCCCACACACACGTTTGCATATTCAAATCTACTCAACGGGGCGCTGGCCACTGCCTCTTATTCAGTCTGGGGCCCAGGCCTCAGAGCCCTCAGCAGGAGCTCCGGTCCCTAGACAGGCTCAAACAGTGCAGTGGGCTCCCCGGGCATCCCCACTGCGACGACGTCCACGATCAGGAGAGGCAGTAGTCTGGCCCGGATCCTTTACACCACAGAGGGACCAGCTTCCCGACTCGCCTTCCCCATAACACAAAATGCCTAACGGCTAAGCTCTTGGACAGGGACAGCTGAGAGAAGCACACAGGGGTTTTCAAAAGCAGTTGTCTGGTCAAAGCACTTTAAACCCAAAGTTATAGCTAAATCCGTCACGTGTCTGTCCTTGCAGGAGATTCAAAGATAACACCTCAGCAGTTTCCCAATGCAGGAGCCAGACTGTCGGGGCTGGAGAGAGAGAAACCTCCTCCCACAGAGTCCCAGGGGGCAGGGGTGGCCGCTGTGCTCCCCAGGGCTCAGACACTCACAGGGGCTGGGAAGGGGAGGCTGGACCTGTGTGCTTGGAGCCACACTGAGCCTGGAGAGGGGCCCTTGAAAGCATCAGGGGAAGAGGAAAAGGGCAGCTCCTCTCTCTCTGGGTGGGGAAGTGTGTTTCCTGGCACGGAGGGAACTGAGCAGAAAGCAAATGTATATTTGATGACATTTCTCTGCAGGCAGCCTCCCTTCTGAAGAGCCAAGTTTGAACAAAGCCTGGCACGAGAGGAGACAGAGGCCAAGGAAAGAGGCAGAGGAAACAACCAGAGAGGTGAGGACTGCCCCTGCGGGGAGTGGGCTGGGGCGGAGGTACAGATAGTGATCTGAGTCACTGCCGTAGCCAGCCAAGGCCTGCCCAGTTCCACCAAGTTTCCATGGGCCAGGCTCTCGGGAAAGGAGGCTCGGGGCCCAAGGGAGACTGGTCGAGAAGACACTCAGCACTGAGAAGTGTCCCTCTGTACCTACAGCCACTCCTAACTCCTCCTAACCTGACCAGATATAAGAGAGCAAGATACACAATCCTTCCACCGTCCACACAACAGGAAAAATCCAGCACTAGGAGACAACCGATGCATTACACAGACGAGATCGGGTATCTGGGTATCTGCTGTTGTGTGGAAAGAACGATGTTGCCAGATAACCCCTCACGGATATGGGGTCTTACGGAAGCAGCCCACACACATAACTCCATTCCTCATAAGAACCCATCCCACACACTTGCATGTCTCTCTGGAGCTAGAACTACAAATGCGTTTCTTCTACAATGCCTGCAGCTCTGCTGAGACCATATGGGGGGTCACTCCGGCGGCGGGGTTCCCAGAAGGCTGAGCATAACTGAACGCTCCCCTCTCATTCTGCTGTCCCTCTCCTGATCGCCACTCGTGCCATCGCACAGGCCTGTCCCAGAGACTCAGACGCCGCTGCAGGACAGAGAGAGTGCCCCGGGGCCCGCAGATGGCCCCCTGCTAGTTCCTGTGCCAGGCCCTCCCCCCACTTGCCCTGACTCCAGCAGTGCTCTGGAGGTCAGTTGTGTTCCTACCAGAAAGCGGCATGTGCTGGGTGAAGTCCGGGGGAGAGAGCCAGGGCTTCAAGGTCAGCCGGGTCCAGCCTCCTGCTCCATTCACACCACCGGGGAGATGGAACTCACAGGAAGACTCCCAGCGTCTGTACTGCATCCTTGAGCTCCACGCCTTTGAGATGGAGGGAGCTAAGATGAATTCTGATCTACTAAGGAGAAAAAAAAAAAGATGAAAAAATCTAAAACCACTAGAATGTGAAACTGGCGGAAACACACGCCCACGTGCCCATACACACTTTTTGGGGGGAAAAAAATTCCAAGTGTGAGATTAGGCGCATTATGATTCCATTATCCAAACAGCATGGTATTAGTGATTTTCACCGGACGGAACCCCAAATGCAGAGCTGGAGGGAATCTTCCAATCCAGCTGGGACCAAGTAAGTGGCCAGCGCTCCAGGCAGAGCTGTGTCCTAGTCAGGACGTCACAGCCAAGCTGGGCTCCTCCGTGAATGGCTGTGTGGCTTCCTACATGGCAAGGACCCCACAAGGCGCTGCCCCGCACAGCAAACCCTCCGTCCAGCTCGCAGCAACCCAGGAATGGGGACCATGGAGCCACTCCCCATCCGGACCCAAGAAAAATCCCTTCCCTCCCCCAGCAAGACTAGGAGGGCTTTTGGAAGAGCCTGCCTTCTCTTGAAAGAAGGCTCAGGGAGAATTAATCCTCGAATCTGGAGGGCAATGATAATATTTTGAAAACAACTTACTTTATCTTACTTCCAAGTGCGGCAGGTGAGAAACACAGGGGCCCGATTTATCTCCCCCAAATTCTCCCATGTATCTCTGTACACCGTTTCTGTTAACACAGTCATCAGCTTCAGCACTGTCATGGCTTCCGGATGGTTCTCCAACACAGACACGGAGCGGGAGATGGAGTCCCTGTCAAGCAGTTGCTGGTTAGCGGACGGCTGGGGCTTCAAAAGAAACGCACAGCTGTCTGTTACAAATACCTGTAATGGCTACCATTTTAAGAGCATTCTGCGTGCTCAGCGAGGAGCTAAGTGCTTTATATTGGGCCACTTTAGTTCTCATTAACAACCCTGCCAGGAAAGCGTGTGCTCCTAAGGTATAAGGAACAGGCACCATGCTCTAGTGACTTCCACACACACGTGCTGTCTCAAAAAAGAAGATGCTTGATTGTTTCCACTCCCAAGGACCTCCAGCAGTCACACCCAGAATCAGACCTTAGACATTTTAAAACAGAGGAAGATACACACTTCTGTATGAGCATAGAGGGCTAAAGGGAAACCCCAGCCCGGGCCATATCTTATCAGGGAAAGGAGATGTGCACAGAGGAACCCCTACAGGTTCTCGCCTCCCTGTTTCCAAGCAACCAACTTGAAAAAGCATCAACTGGGCCCAAGAGGAACCTTTGGGAGCTTCTGTAAGAGTGTTCTACACCATGGAGAAGGCAATCAGGATCAGAAAACAGCATAGGTGTTTTTGCAAATGAATCCAAACACATTATCGATAACTTGTTCTATTGGATTCTTCTCCATCCTGTCTCTGTGACTCTGAAAGTAATATCTCTTCCCACCACCAAATTTACCAAATAATCTGATAAAAGGTAGCATGGCTCATGCTGTGTACGGAGAAGCAGTCCGAACAGTCCCTAATTAGGTCTGGCCTGATCTCACTGCCTCAGTCAGATGCTCAGGAGTCACACATTAGAACACTTCTGAAGGGGCTCACGGTGTTACAGCAAAGCCGGGGACCCCCTCCCGCCACACACCACGCCAGAGATCCTGTTCCGAGCTCAGCTGCAAGTCGGCCTAGGACCCAGTCACCAACCACAGCCTCCTTTATTCTCCTGAGAGGTTCATGTGACCTTGGGACAGGCTGCAATGGGCTTTCAAAAACTAGCTGTCCCTCTCCTTCTGTCCTGCACCCCAACACCTGGAGTCTGGAATGCACGAGACCCAGGACCGCGGACCCGGAGTGGAGGAAGTGGCTGGGAGCTGTCCATGGTGGCGCCGCGCCTGGACACGCAAAGCCGCGGGCTTCCAGCCCCCCAGGCGCTCTCCAGACCGCCGGAATGGAGAGGCTCGCTCCCAGGTTCACCGTCTCCGGGGTTGGGGCTGCAGCCAGCACTGGCTCATACATCAAAAGATTACTTTCAAAAGAGAGTTCTCACCTGTGGGCAACGTTGGCTGCGCCGAGCGAGACTCAGGACCTCAAAGCCGGCTGCTGGAGGCGCGCCTGGGACGGCGGTGGTGGTGTTCGACCCTTGGGGACCGGCGGCGGTCGCTGAGAGCTGAGAGTCTGTGGCTGACGACCTTGGGCTCACTGAGTTCCTTTCTCAAGAGCACATGCGTGCCTCCGGGTCCGTTCCAGGAGGTCTCTGGCCCTCGTTCCCCGAGCAGCGAGCTGGAGACCTGGCCACAGCCCTGGCTGGCACTCTGCACTCCGCCAGGTCTTTAACCTAATTTAACCCTTCTGGGAGCCGAGGTCCCTCGCCAGGCACCACCGAACCCTCTCCCAGCAATGCCGGGTTTGGAGACTCAGTCTAAACATCAACAGGGGCCGTGGTGTCTTTTAACATTTAATTGCACACACCCCCACACACACACCGCGCGCCCGGCGCCGGCACAACGCTGGGAGCCCGGCGCTCGCGGGAGTGCGGGAGCGGGGGGCAGCGGGAGGCGGAGGCGAAACCAGAAGGAAGCCGGTGCCGAGGCCCGAGCAGCGGGGCGCAGACCTGTTGCCAGGCGCACGCCCACTGGCGCACAGTGTGAGCCCGCTCTCCGTCCGCGGGACTCCGCGACTCCGCGACCTGACCCTCAGAGCGGTCTCTCGTCCGCAAGCCACAGTCCCGAGCGCGAGACCCCCCTCCCTCAGCCACTGAGAAGTGGGGGCCTCTACGGAAAGCAGGGTCCACCCCCCCGACGCACACACACTCAGATTGGGACGCGCTCCGGGAACACCGGCGCCCCTGGCACCTGCTGCTTGCAAAAGATCTCAGGATCTCGGCGAAACCTCCCAGAGGACAGTGACAGGGGCGTGTGCCCATCAACAGACGCCCGGACAGACAGACAGAGGCGGACCGCAGAGCAGAGCGGACAGACCGCCAGAAGCCGAGAATGGGTACCGTTCGCCCGTGGCCGGTGGAGGCGGCGGCCCCGCGCCCTTCCTTCCCCACCGAGGCTCGGGCAGTCGGGCAGCCTGGCGCGCCGGCCCGGCCCTCTTACCTCGCGGTCGGGAGCGGAGACGGCGGCACGTCCCGCGGGCCAGGAGCGCGGCGGCCCGGGCGATCCGGGGGCACAGCGACGGGCTCCGCGAGCTCCGGGGATGCGGGCGGCAGAGGGGTGGCTCGTCTGAAGACGTGGGGTTCCGCGCGCGGCCGCGCTCTGCCCCGATGCCCCCGGCCTCTCGCGCCCGCCCGGTCACACTGGCCCGCGCCGCGCTCGGCTCGCGCTCCCCGGCGTCCGCCCGAGCGGCGGCTTTTATAGCGCTTGGCGGCTCTGGGCGCCGCGCCGGCCGGGCTGGCTCCTCCCCGGGGCCCCAGACGCCCGCCCCCGGCCGACCGCCCCTCGCCCGACCGGCCCCGGGCGGGCTCTGGCGGCCGCTCTGGGAGGCGCAGACCCGAGCCCGCCGAGCCGGGGAGCGCGAACAGCCGAGCGCCGCGGCCGGGTGAGGGCGCTGGAGCCCAGGGGCAGGGAGCTGCCGGCGCGGGTTCTCGGCCGCGAGGGGCTGGGGAGCCTGGCGGGCGTACGACCCCGCTCCCGGGGATCGGCGGCCGAGGGAAAACTCCTGCGTCTGCTGGAGTGGCCGCGACAAGGGGCTCAGGGCTGTTAAGTCTCAGGATCTTGGGGGGGGTTGTTTTTTGTTTCTTGGTTTTTTTTAACTTAACAAAAAAGAGTGGCCTTGGAAAGATCCTGGCGTCGGCAACCCGGTGTTTGTCTGAGGGCAACACGTTCAAAGAAAACTTCATTTGAAACCGGTCAGACACCCCAGGTCATGTGGCTGCAGACACAGGCCTTACCCCTCTGGGGGTCAGTGTCCTCATCAGGGAAATGGGTTCTATGAGGCTTCCTGCCGGGACTGGGGGGACAGTGGAAATGAGGTGGCGATAGTACAGATACACAGCACACAGTAGGTGCCCAATGAGTTACTATCCTTCCCGCGTCCTTCTAACTACACAGACCAAGGTCCTCAAGGATCAGAGCAAACAAGTATGATGCAGACTGTCCCCTTCCTGAGGAAACAGGGCAAGTAGAAAGAGCCTGTGAGGGGCGCCTGGGTGGCTCAGTGGGTTAAGCCTCTGCCTTTGGCTCAGGTCGTGATCACAAGGTCCTGGAATCGAGCCCCGCATTGGGCTCTCTGCTCGGTGGGAGCCTGCCTCCCCCCGCCACTAACTTGCTAGGGGGCCAGTGTCACCCACTGCCCTTCCCGGGGTCTCTGCTTATTGTTTGTAAGATGGGGGCTGTGATACAAGTTCTTCCTCCTGTCCACTTTTTTGGAGTTGATGACTCAACCCTCCCCCGCTAGCTGGAGCCCCCAGAGTGTGCTTCTCTTTTCCCTTCCAGCCAGCACCCTGCGAGAACCAGCTCTGCAGGCAAGGTCCTCATTGTAAGGCGGCACACACCAGCCACACGAACCCACTGCCAAGCGACAGTCAGGCAGAAGCTGCTGGAGCCTGTTCCTGCGCTCGGGGCTGGGACAGAGCCCTGACTCTTTGGCTAAACTAAGGAAGGCCTGCATTCCTCCCCAGGCCCTTCCCAGAGAGCTGGTCTTGACCCTCACTGGGCTCAGTTAGAACCCTCAGCCCTTCCTTGACTTCTTGAAAGCCCCAGCCGGATGCTGTGGCAAGCACCCCTTGCCCACCTCTCCTTTCCAGCAAGCTTAGCTGGAACCACCTATGTCCCCTCCCCACCACACCATAATTTCTGGTTCCTTTCCTTTCTTAAGGAGGAACCCCAGACACCAGGACTCACAAACACCGGGAGGAGGCTGAGCATCCGGCCACACAGAGAAAGGTCAGCTTTGAATCAGCCTTGCTTGGAGCACGAAGAGCTACGGGGGAGATTCCCCCCCACTCCCATCAGCAGAGAGTCGACCTGCTGCCCAGGCACCGAGACACTAAACAGTAAAGAAAGACCCTTGTCGGGTGATGCGCTCAGGGAATGACTTAGTCATGTGTTCTTGAAGTGCAGAAATACCCAGCACATTCCTCTGGTATCCGGCTTTTTTTTTTATCTCGGGCCAATGCCCTGGGGAGAAAGTGAGGCTGACGGATGGCAAACAGGCTCCACATGTCAGAAATCAGACTCGGACGGAGCTCCATCGGCGCTCACTGGGCCTGTGACGGATGCCATGTGCCAGGTGACCCTCTGGGGCCCAGTGTCGGCCAACTGGTTCTGGTGACGTGCCTACCCAGACTTGCCTCAATGCGTGGGCTTTTGCAGGTGTAGACAGAGCAGCGGCTTGAGAAGGACAGGATCGGTTTTCTGGTTCTTATCAGAATTCCCCGGGGAGAGTGTCCAGACAGAGGAAACCATGCTGCTCTGCCCAGAAAGCCTGCCCTTCCTCCAAGCCGGCTCTTGCCTCCGCCGCCTGCCCCAGGTGGACATGAGATGCGGCCCTCAGCCCATCCTGCAGACAGAACGGCCTGTGCACTCACGGCTCCCGCGAATGCCCAAGTCTGGCATCCTTGGGGGGCTGGTGGGGCGCAAGCCTGCCCCTCAGAGCGGGGGTCACCACCCACCGTCTACCTGCTGACCAGCAAAGCCCGTCCCTGGGCTCACGGCAGCCTCCTGCGAGGCGTCCAAAAGGCTGGCCACACCTGCAGCTCCATCCCCCAAGCCTCCAGACGAGGTTTTCCCAGGAAAAGGGCAGGCAGACCGGAATAGGGGGGCGCGTGGGGAGATGGGAATGAGAACGCAGCGGGAGGATGGAGTGAGTGGGCTGTTCGCGGCAAGGCTTCCCGCAGACCCTGCTGAAAAATCAAACCAACATCAGGCGTCAGTCCCCACCCTGGGAGAAGAGGCTCGCCAGCCACGGGTGTGCCTAAATTCCACCAACAGGGGTCGCCCTCGGACACCAAGCCTGAAGCTGGTTTGGGAGAAAGGGAAACTCCCAGCCTGCGTCCTGGGGCCCGATTTCCAGGACGAACAGTGGCTCAGTTCCTGTTCTGTTGCTTGCACAGGAGGTGGCCCAGCCAAGAAGACACAAGTCCTGAATTTTTCTGGTGAGTGGAGGTCTGTGCTGGAATTTGGGACGGGAAGTCTTAGAGCAGGGGCCAACCGCTTGCAAGCTCTAAACGTGGGTTTCTCCATCTCCTTCTCCAAACTCATCCTTGCCGTAGAGAAGGAACATTCCTTCTTGTGTCTTTTTTTTTTTTTTTAACTATCTGACATACTTGTGTGCCAGAGGTGATGTTTTCCCATCATGTATTGCTTTTTCCTGAGTGCAAAGATTATGCATGTGCCTTGCAGTGGGGGGGGGAAACACAAGTTGGAAAATTCAGAAAATGGACAGAGGAAAGGTCACTTCATTGCGAACCTAATGTGTGTATATTACCAAAAATTTGAAAAATACAGAAAAGTGCAAAGGAATAAAATCACGGCTGCCCAAGGGTCGTCTGCTAAGTTGCAGCCGACAGAGAAATACTCCACAGAGACGTTACCCAGATGCGCGAATGCACGAGGCTAACTTCTCTGTAAGCAGTTCCTTGTTTAGCTCACAATCCTTCTCCACCAGCTTGCACGTCCCGGAGAGCAGGAGCAGGAGCAGGACTCGCTTCTTTTCACCTACAATAGCCCCTACGGCATCCTGCCCAGAGTCCGTAGGTAGGAGGCATTGACATTGTGAGTGAATGGATACGCAGAAGCATTTTTTTTAAAGATATTTATTTATTCATCAGAGAGAGAGAGAACGAGAGCACAAGCAGGCAGAGAGAGAGAGAAGCAGGCTCCCCACTGAGCAAGGAGCCCGATGCGGGACTCGATCCCAGGACCCTGGGATCATGACCCGAGCCGAAGGCAGACGCTTAACAGACTGAGCCACCCAGGCGTCCCCGCAGAAGCATTTTTAATTAAAATAATATACATGGAGTTCATGGGAACAGAAACCCAAGGGGTTCATACACATTCGAAAAGAGGCTCCACTTTGCACATAAACACAGAAATGCAAATTAAGGCTACGCGGAAATATTGGACTGGCAAAACTCCAGAAGTTTGGTGATATTGCCTTTGTTGGGGGGTGGGGATCTGGTGAGGGTGGAAGACGGATGGACCCTGGCCTCAGACATCGCTCGGGAAAGCTTAAACTGGTACAGTCTCTGAGGGCGGTTTGCCAAGATTTAGGAAAACGTACATTACATTTGACTCAGCAATTCCACTCCCAGGAATTAACCCTATGGATGTATTTGCACAACGTGTGAAATGACACGGACAGAGTTCTACTGCAGCTCTACTTGTAACAGTACCGGACTGGGAACAGCCAAAACGCAACTAATAGAGCTAATTAAATTATGTTACATCTGCACAATGGAATACTATGCAACTATTTTTTTTTAAAAGGATAAGGATACATTTTGTATACTAAAATAAAAAAAAAAACAACCAGGGGCATCTGGCAGGAAGAGCATGTGATTCTTGATTTTGGGGTCATGAGTTTGAGCCCCACGTTGGGTATAGAGATTGTTTAAATAAATAAAACTTTATTTATTTAATTTATTTACCTTCATTTAATTTATTTATTTACCAGGGTGGTTCAGTTGGTGAAGCATCTGGTTTTGGCTCCGGTCATGACCCCAGGGTCTCAGACGGAGCCCCATTTTGGGTTCCCTGCTCAGCGGGAGTCTGCTTCTCCCTCTGCCCCTCCCCCCACTCGTGCTCTCTCTCTCTCTCTCTCTCTCACTCTCAAATAAAAATCTTAAAAATAAACGAATGAATGAGTATAAATATGTACATAAAATAATTAAAAATTCAAGTGTAAAGCAATGTATATGGCAAGCTA